TTTTTTTTATTCTTGCTCAGATTTCGTGAAAGAAAAGTCTGAGCCAGAGCTTATGGCAACTTGAAAATAAATCTTTAAAAAGATTCCTGGTGTTATTTTATTATTCACTCTCCATCCACAAACAAAAATAAAAATTATTAAAATTAAAAATCAGCAATTGTCAAGGGATAAATAAAGAAAAGTAATAAGGCATAATTTGCATGTGGGAATTATTAAATGGGATGCAGTGATAAAGAGGAGCTCACCGGCCTGTCTGTTAAAAAGCGCTCATCATACACCTCCCGTATACTCCTTTCTCGCCTGTAAGTCACTGAAACGGGCAAAGAGTGAAACATACTGTTATCACTAGCACTGTCTCTGTTCAAGTGTGGTCGGACTAGCTTCTTCGAGCTGCAATATTAATAAAGTATTAAATAGAACTTTTTCTCAGAAGCCATCTGACATGAATTTGAGGGCCAACACAGATGACATTGTTCTATTTAGATGCCTTGAATCTTGTGGTTTCCTAATGTTTCATCTGAAACTGTCTGAAGTGAAGCACCTTTTTAGCCTCACACATGTGCAGGCTTTAACACAAAAGCAGCTTTTGCAAAAAGAACTTGTCTAATACATAAAACGTTTTGAATATTGGTACAGGTTCTACATATGCACAGATTGCACAGGAGCTGCTGATCCAGTTCTACACTGCGGTCAATGAGTCTGTCCTGTGCTCCTCCATCACAGTCTGGTATGGTGCAGTCACTAAACAGGACAGGAGCAGACTGCAGCGGACTGTACGGGCAGCAGAAAGGGTCATTGGCGCCCCCTGCCCTCCATCCAGGATCTGTACCTCTCAAGAACCAGGAAATGTGCAGGGAAAATCATCACAGACCCCTCACACCCTGGTACAGACTTTTTGATCTGCTGCCCTCTGGAAGACGGTACAAAAGCCTACAGACCAGGACCACCCGACATAGGAACAGTTTCTTTCGCCTCGCCATCTCCCTTCTAAACAGTTGACCTGTCACACTGCTCCCACTGCCAGACTGCAACTGCACCTTATGTACATTCTGTAGTATTCATTCCACTTCATTTCTGTATTCTATGTATATAAGTTTAGATTGGTTATTTATACAGCTATTTACACAGCTTTGTGTATGTATGTGTATGCATGTGTAATGTATATATAGACACGTGTGTGTGTGATTTACATTGCTGTGCTTGAGAGCCTCCATCTACCTGAACCAAATTCCTTGTATGTGTCTGCACATATACTTGGCCAATAAACACGATTCTAATTCTGATCTGATTCTGATATGATCTCCCTAAACTAGTATCACATCAGTGTTCTCAGGTGTGTTAGTGTTTAGTGTCTATTGTTTGTTAATAACTTACTTTTTTGTTTGTTTTATTGATTTATTTTAAAAAAAATTGGTTTTTTTTTTGCTTTTTGGGCTTCTCGAAACGTAAGATCTTCAAAACAATCTGTAAAGAAAGTTCATATAAAGTGTTAAGACTTCAGAGCAGACATCAGCAGAAAACATCAAAGACAAGACAGGGCACGGTCTGAAAGGCAAGTGAGCAGGCTGAGATTACTTTGTGCAGGTTGTATGACCTAACGTGGAGGTGAAAAAGAGAGTGCATGCAGGTTAGAGTGGGTGGAGACGAATGTCAGGGGTGATTTGTGATAGAAGAACAACAGCAAGAGTGAAAAGAGATGGTTGTGAGAACTGATGTCATGTGTGGTTTGGAGATGGGGGGCATTGACAAAAAGACAAGAGACTGAGCTGAAGGTGACAGAGTTGAAAGTGTTAGGATCTTCATTGGGAGTAACCAGGATGGACAGGATTAGAAATGAGTACATCAGAGGGATAGCTCTCAAAGTTAGAGGCAAGGCAGAGATTTTTGGACATGTACAGAGGAAGGATAGTGGATATATTGGACAAAGGATGTGGAAAATGGAGCTGCCAGGTGGGAGTAAAAGAAGAAGACCACAGAGAAGATTCATAAATGTAGTTGAGGAGGACGTGGAGGGTTGGTGACACAGAGGAGAATGCTAATGATAAAGTAAGATGAAGGCAGATGATTCACTGTGGGGACCCCCAAAGGGAGCAGCCAAAAGAAGAAGACTGACCTAACGTGACATGTTAAAGTACATTTGATCCGCAGTAACTTAGTCAATATAGCCATCAGCTTGATGGCAACTAAACACTATCATTAACAAATCATCACTACTGTTTGTGGTAAATTTACCACCTACTTTACCACCTACTGATTGCGATGTAAACCAGGCTGCTATCACGGCTAACTAGCTAGCTTCAATGCATGCACTAAACACCAGCACGCTTGTGTAGTAAGTTAATATATCGTTAAGGCCACCAACAAAATCATTTGATATGTACGTCAGATTGCGGCTTCATCTACATAAACTGTGGAGGTAAATAATTTAACTGAAAAATAACAAACCGAGCTTACTTTCCTCTGTCGTCCAGTTAGCTTAGCTTCTCCCGGTAGTTACGGTCGTTATTTACGTTGTGCACGTCATCAAAGTGCGACGCACAATATACGGCGTTTTTCCCCGTTTGCTGAACAACTGCTCCGTGTAAATAAAATTACACACCATATTTTTTAACAGCTTTGGCATTATTCTAACGGACGGTGTGGTGTTGGTAAGAACTACTGTGAAGGTAGGCAATTGCTCGAATTAACGGTAAATTGAATAGTGCTGTGTTTATAGTGGATGTATTAAGCTGAACTGCTGGTTGTGTACTTTATGACCATCATGTGTCTTTCAGAGTGTTTTATTTGAGTCCAGTATGAGCGGGGGTTTGGCACCAAGCAAAAGTACCGTCTATGTGTCGAACCTGCCATTCTCTCTCACCAACAATGACCTACACAAGGTAAGTTTGTCCCTGTAACTCTTAAGTGTTTGTCCTGTGCCACCACCACAAACTTGAAATTAAAAAAATAAGAGCAAATGTTGTAAAGATTTTCAGCTTTCATTCAAGGGATTGGACAGTGGATTGCATTTATATAGCGCTTTTCGGGGCCCTCAAAGCGCTTTACAATTCCACTATTCATTCACTCTCACATTCACACACTGGTGGAGGCAAGCTACAGTTGTAGCCACAGCTGCCCTGGTGCAGACTGACAGAGCGAG